CCCCAAAACCCCAAAACCCCATGATACCATTATCATTTTTTTAAAGTGAAGTTCAATTCATGATGATTTTTATCCTAAAATTTAAATTAATAATAGATCACCGCAATATTTAAACCTTAATTGAAGGAGATTTTATTATTAAATAATAGATATCTCTCAACACTCTGGGAAATAATGACTGACAAAGGACTTACAGAACCATTACTAAACTTTAAAGGTTTAAATAATGTACTTGCATCGTCAAGCAAGCCTTAAACTCTTCCAATTGATTCAGAAGTAAACACTGTGTTCGCTAGTATTTAAACTATTGGAGATAAACTAGTTAATGGAAGTGAAATTGAAGGACGAGCTAAACACTATATAATTACTAGAAGTGGAAATCTACTAAACTTCTCTGAAAATGGAAAACTTACACTTTGGAGTTTACTTAGTAAAAAGCTTGTTTATTCTGAGGATGTAAAAAGAATCAATGTTCTATATGAGACTCCAAAAGGATCCAAACTTTTTATCGGGTACAATAACGGGACATTGGAGAGTCGTGATCCCAATACTTAATAAGTACTATAATAAGTAAATTTAAGAAGTGCGGTAAAAGCTCTAGTCTCTGATGATAAAAATTTGTACGTGAGTTTAAAAAACGGCAAAATATTATAGTTCTCTTGCAAGAACATATCTTCTGTAAGCTAAAAGGTAATCAGACCAATAGATAGAACATCTCCTATCACTCATCTTAAACTTTCAAGAGATGAGATATTTTTAGTCGGGTATGTTGACATTGATCAAGTGGAAATGCTCTTCGTATTTAATATTATAAAGCCTGAACAGTCTTGGTAAACTAAACTTGATTTATCTCCTGGTGAGCTTAGAGAAGACCCAGATAAGCTGGTAGTAATCTCTGAGGATTGCTTAAACCTTTTTATCAGAGGTGAAAATAACAAGGGAGTATGCATGTATTCCCTATTTGATGGCTCTGTCGTCTAAAACGTGACATCAATGCATACTAACTATATAAACTAAATACTTATTACAAAAGATTCTAAGAGAGTGATTACTTGTTCAAAGGATAGAAAGATAAAGGTATGGGACTGGATCAAGTCAGAGTGCTTGGCCACCTTGACACTTCATGAAGAAGGTGTAGAGACTATGGTTCTATCAGAAGACGAGACTTTGCTTTTCACTGGGTCTTATGATACAGCCGTAAACGTTTGGTCTATGTATGACTATGTCTCACTAACTAAATTAAAAACCTAATTCCCAATAAGATCTCTTCACTTGAGCGGTGATAATGATATTCTTTTGGCTTGCGGTAATCTAAATAGCAAAACTGACCAACCAATGCAGGCATTCTGGGTCTTGGAAGATAATGCTGATGCTTTCAGAATTAGAGTAGAATTGAAGAATGTTTCAAACTGCTATGTTACTCCAAACAATGAATATTTGGTCACAATGAATGGAAATTCTTCTTTAAAGATTTGGAATCTTAAGAGCAGAGTGCTCATTGAATAGCATAAAGTCAATTGCTAGTTCAGATACAATCTTAGAGCACTGAATGGCACTAGAGATTCAGAAAGCATCTTTTTCTAAAAAGAGTAAAGTGAAATTATCTAATGGTCATGCTCATAGCAATAGCAAGTTCATACATTCATCCATGGAAGTTAAGTATAAGACATAGTGATTACATCAGACGATAGAATGATGTATTGTGCTATCGAGAAATCAATTTACAAGTGGGATCTGTAAACTAAATAGGAACTCTGTAGATTTCTGCACCCCGATGGTTATTTTTTGTATCTTGTTCTATCATCGGATGACTAAAGATTATTGGCTAATGGATTAGGAGCAGATATCTTCGAATATGACCTAAAGCTTGATGATACCTAGGAATTAAAGCGCTTTGATATAATTAAGGACGCATGCTGGCTTAATTTTGAACTATCACCTGATGGAGTTACTCTCATTCAGACTCATTAATATAATGGTTCATTCTGGGTATGTAACTTAAAAGAGGGTAGAGTTGTTAAGATTCTTAGCAAAAATTCACAAATTATTAACTTTGTTGGCTTTACTAAGGATGGTAAATACTTGATCACTAGATCAGAATCAGAGTCAATTATTTGGGAGACATCCAAATGGGAAGCTCTTATTACTATCCAAGAAGAGTTTGGAGTAGTAACTTCAAGCTCACGACAAGTTCAAGCGATTATTCATGATGGCCTGTACAAGTCTTGGTCAGACCAAATCTTTTGCAGCTTCTCCGACGATTTTACATTTGCAAGTATTGAATAAGAACAAGAAGTTGAGCAGGATGTCTAGGAAGTTAATACATCTGATATTAAAATGACTGGAAAATTCAACAATCTGATGAAACTTTTTATTGGGAAAGTAGGAAAGAAGTCTCCTGATGAGAATAAATATCTTCCATATCTTTACAAAACTTAAATTTAACCATTCAAAATGACTCTAGCACATTTCTATGCTTACTTTAATAGAGCTGATATTGTCTAAAAATTGCTAGAAATGGGTAGCCCTTATATTGAAGACGTTAATTAAAATACTCCCTTGGACTATGCCATTCAAAAGAAATCATACGAGAGTGCTACAATATTTCTTGATTACATTATAAAAAGTCCTAATCTCTATGGAAAATTAACAGAGGAAAAGATTATAAATCTAATTGAGTTCGCTCCCTCAAATTTAAAAGAATTCTTTGATTCAGCTGTAAAAGAACAAGTTGGAGAATATATCCCTTCTTTTGGGACATTGATAACCAATCCTATGTCATTCAGAGAGTCTCAAAATAACTTTGTCAGCTTCTCTGATATTAAGCACATGATGGTATTAGATAAAGATAATGATGAACCTTTAGTCTTTAAGACCTTATAAATTCCATTCAATATGCAACCAGGCTCATAATCTAGTATCAATTTACATAGAACACTTTCTTAGAGTGAGCTTACCGCATTCAGAGCAGAATCAGTATAAGCTATATTGACATATAAGTGGGACTTAGTAAAAAGGATTGTTTACCTAAACGGTTTAATATACCTTTTCTACATGGCAGTGTTGTTTACGTTCATCTAGACATACCACGAGATTTCCTTATATTTTCTGATTGCTTTTGGCTTCTATTTCATGGGATTTGAGATTCTTCAAATTTGCTTGAATAGATTGAGTTACTTAGGAGATTTTTGGAATATATTCGATTTCTTGAGAGTACTATTGCTAATCTTTTTCATTTATAATGCTTTTAAACATGAAGACTGGAATAAAAGTTAGTCAATGCTCTAACTTTTGGGAACTCTTAATTTCCTGTCTTGGGTTAGAGCACTTTCATTCTTGAGACTCTTCTAAAAGACAAGAATTTTCATTAGGCTTTTGGTAGAGGTTATCTATGACATGATTCCATTTATGATTGTTTTAATTGGAGCTGTACTCGGAATATCGCTTAGTTTTGAAGTTATTAATGATATCAGTATGCTTGAGGCTCTCAAACATAATTATAGACTTACATTTGGTGACTTTGAAACAGATAATTACACAGCAGCTAACTGGACTTTGTTCATTATTGGTTCAGTCTTAATTCCATTAATTATGCTTAATATGTTGGTTGCAATAATGTCAGATACCTATGCTAGAGTTATGTCAGACATTTTACCATCAGATTTTCTTGAACTTAATCAAATGATCCTAGAGCAAGAAGAAATTCAGTTCTGGAATAGAAGAAAGGGCTAACTAGGTTATCTTCACTATGTTACTCCCCTTAAAAGAAAAGAAGGAAATGAATGGGAGGGCTAAATCTAAAAGATTCTTGCACTACTTTAATAACATAACGGTTAATCTCCAGAGGTATTAAATAAACTTGGGGAAAAAATGGATCTAATAATGGAAAGTCAAAAAGTTTAATTCAGAGATACAAATCTTAAATTTGACGAGCAAAAAAAAAGATTTGATCGCATTTAATAGGAACTTGAAATAATTCTTCCAAAGTCACAAAAAGATGAAATTGTTGTAGAAGAAGAAGAAGATAGTGATGGTGATTTCTTTGATGATGAATACGTTGAAGAATAATCAAAGATCGCCTAAACTTATTTTCAAATTAACAGTTGCACTGTAAAAAAATACTTAAACGGAAATTGGCTCAGTTTTAACCCGACAAAGCAAGGGAAGTTGCTTAAGGAAGAATCAATTAAAGCAATAAAATAGATTTTTAGAAGAGTCAATAAAAAAATTCCAGATGAATCTAATATTGAAAATTTGATGAAAGAAATTGATCTCAATGGTGATGGACTTTTATCTAAGATAGAGTTATATGTCTTGTTCATGAGACTATGGAATTATCATCAAGAAGTAGAGGAAGAAATAACTTTGATGAACTAATCTAAATATCCAAAAGATGCTTTCTCCAGATTCCTTGAATCGTAACAAAGAGAAATCTTTGAATAATTATGGACTAAATATGATAGTGATAATAAGGACCACATTGATGCTAAGTAAGGAACATCATTAATCAAAGAGTTTAGCAAAAAATCCCTAAATGATTAAGAGATAATTGACCTACTCAAATAGCTTGACAGAGATGGAAATGGGGAAATATCAAAGGATGAATTAAAAACTTTTATCTCGGAAAACAAATATTTACTCAGTGAATATTGAAAGAAAAAGTTGAATATGTTTATTTAAGGCAATTTAACATCTTTGCAGGGCATATTTTTTAGGCTTTTGAATTATTGATAAGAGCGATTTAATAGTAAGGATAATTAAAAGCAATTTTTTAAGTCCTCATTTAATTAAACTAAAAATTTCAATTTGTTTATTTTCAAACTCCAAAAATACAGTGTATTTGAGAAATTTGGGGTTTTGGGGTTTTGGGG